ATTCATGCATTGTTGCAAACCTTATTCAACATACATCACAGGCTTGTGGTTCTGGACTGCTGCCCAAAATACGTAATCAGCAAATATCTTCCACAGTTATTTCTAATGTGTCTGTTACTTTTATTTTCTTTTTAGAAAGAAGAATTCAAAGGACTGTCAATGTTTTAACAGATGGTAAACATTTTATATATTTTCACTTCTTTGTCGTGTTTCTTTTTTTCAGGTTTCAGTAATATAATAGAACAAAAGACACTTTCTTTTCTTGTGTGCCATTTTTTTAAAAAAAAATCTTAAATAACAACACTGCCCTAAATGACCCCTGTCACACTTAGCTTTAATATATTTGTTTTATTTTGTACAAGAAACCTACCAGTCTGTGCTTATAAAAGATTCAAAACCAATTTGCAGATAAGTTATTTACTTTAGAAGCTTTCAATACTTGTTCAAATGATGTCATGAAAACTGCATTGACTTCATTCAGGCAGCAGGTCTCTGAAGTCAAGAATACACAGCACATTGTTGGGTATTAATTTAGAATTATTGTATATTTTACCATGAGGGTGGGAGAGATTTTGAGATTTTTCTGCCTCAGGTCAATTTCGTTGGTCTGAAGTACTATGTGCCATGATTTAGGGAGAAGGGGCATCATTTGCTGTTCTACACAGCAACAAAATGCCTCTGATTGATCCTGCTGTATCTGTGGACTGACAGTGATATGGTATTTATGCTGCCAGAGGTCACCTCCCTCCTGACACTGATAGTGAGGGCCAAAACAGAGTGTTTGGGGAGGGATGTGTTGTCCTATTCACTGTGACCTTCAGATGGCTATAGCCTGTATCTCACATCAGCCCTATGCTGAATAGGCAATGGTGAGAAATTGTAGGAGTTGAAGAACCACATTTGCGATAGATCTTTGCTTGAAAATATAATCTATTGAGCATGCTAACCATGTGTAAACAGGAAGAAGTTTGCTTTGTTAGGCTTCTTATATAAATCCCAACCCTATGCATCCTTATGGGAGAAAAAGTCCAATAAATGGAACTTCTGAGCCAACCTGCTTAGCATCTTCTTGTCACATTTCATTTAAAACAACAGGATTTAGGGTTAGTAACACATTAAATTGATCTCAGTGGGAATTTTTAATGTTAATTTGAGATGGATTGGATCAGATCCCTGAGAAGTAACTGAAGGCTGTTTGCAAAGCTGAATAGGGATGGTTGTTGCGGGTTTTTCGGGCTCTTTGGCCGTGTTCTGAAGGTTGTTCTTCCTAACGTTTCGCTAGGGATGCTTAACTTTACAATGGAACTAGATGGACACATTTAAAGCTTTTTTAACAGAGTAACCCAAAATAAACATCTCCATAGTTCTGGATTGGATCATTTTCAGGCACTGTGGAATCTGACATAGGAATCTTGGATGTGGGGAAAATAGCAGTAGACTGAAATGAATGGCAGAAAAGCAAGTCTGGATTTGAAAGCAAAGGAGGCCTCTGGAATGCACACAGAAATCAAGGCAAAAAAGAGAAGCCAAATGACATAGGTGTGAAATGGGAGTCAATGAGTGCAGTGGAATTACATTACCAAGCAGAAACCATGGAATGGCTTTGTCTAGCATAATCTCATTAACCTCAATGGGTCTTTGTCAATTTGCTATGGAGCATGGGGGCTGGAAGACCTAAAGTGTAAACACCCTGGAGATCCTAAAATACATTAAAAGGCAGTACATGGATTCCAGTTTCTAGATTTCCCAGCAAGTGTACGTAGGATTCACAGAGTTTGGAAGTAACTAATTACTTGATTACTAGTAATAATGAATTACTTACTTACTGGGAAAAGTAATTAAGTGATGTGAAAACCAGTGTGGAGTGGTGCCTAGAATGCTGGACTTCTACTCAGAGGAGACCTGGCATAAAATTCCTGTTCAGCCATGGAAGCTCACCAGGGGAGAGGAGGCAGAACAGTAAAAGCACTCCTTGAACATCATACATACTTCCAAAACCCTGTTACAGTTGCATTACAGTAGAAGTCACCTGATAGCACATAACAACAGTAGGAGGCCTGGAAGTCACCCACTAGAGGTCAGACCTTATTTGTGGTGGCATGGACTTCGTGGAACCAGCTCCTGGTGTAGCCATACCTGGCCCTCTCCCTTTTACCCTTTAGAAGGCAACCTAAAATGCTGCTATTCACAAAGGTCATCCACATCAACCTGGCTTGATTTTATGCCTCTTGACCTGCTATAATATAGATAATTTGCCTTTGGCACCATTAGTTTTTATCTTGTGGTTGTTGTGTGTTTTTCAGGCTCTTTGGCCATGTTCTGAAGGTTGTTCTTCCTAATGTTTCCCCAGTCTCTGCGGCTGGCATCTTCAGAGGACAGTTAGAATTCTGTGCTCTGTTATGAGTCCTCCAAGAGACAGGAGTGCTGCCCTCGGAGGCGCCCGGCCACAGAGACTGGTGAAACATTAGGAAGAACAACCTTCAAAACACGGCCAAAGAGCCCGAAAAACCCACAACAGCCATTAGATCCCGGCTGTGAAAGCCTTTGCGAATAGTTTTTATCTTGTTCAATATATTAATTTGTTATTGTTTATTTGTTATTACCTCATTTCATTTATTGTTGTAAACCAATAGTTGAAGCAGAAGAGTGCATCATATTAATGGGGTAGTATATAAATTATTTTTTTAATTAATAAAAATAAAAAATTAAAAAAATAAAATATTGATAGCACCTAGTGTAAGCAACTACAGTATAGCAGGATTAAGTACACTGCCTGCTGGTGGTCGTTGGGCATAACAACATTACATCATGGTGGTAGTTTATTGATGGACACTAGTAAATTTGTAACTACTAAATTCAGGGATGTGGCTTTTCTGGTGGAGGAGGCATATCACACATTCAAGTGCTTGCTGAAGGCTATTGAGGGGACAATGGGGCAAATGGACTTTGTGTACCATACATGAGTGTCTTGAAGCATTTGGGGTTATTTTGGGAGAAATGTGAAAATAAATAGTTATTTCTTAAAACTGTACCTATTAGTATAGCTACTTCACAGGGCTTTGGGAAATGGTTTTAAAAATAGCTTTAAAATTGTTTTTAACAGTGTTTCTGTACATTACTTTGGAAGTCTCTTTATGGGAAGAAAATGCTGTAAATAAATCAATACTGTTACTAAAGGTGTGGGGGGGACCCTTTATTTCCAAACGTACTTTTCCAAGTTGTGGCAGTGGTCACCAACCTTGGGTAATTCAGGTACTCTTGGGCTGCAACTCCCAGAAATCTTGGTTAGCACAACTGGGAGTTGCAGTCCAAGAACGCCTGGGTTGTCTACCCAAGGATGGGGACCACTGGGGTAGAGGCGTGTACTCTTCAGGCACGCGGTGAACTCCATCTGCACCTGTTAACTGAGTAAGCTGAAGCGTGTCAGTGAAGAGAATCTTGGCGAAACAAGCACGGGAGAGAGGAGCGAAAAAGGAGCCTAGGCGCTCCGCGCTGGGTAGACCAGTTTGACCCGCGGATTCTTTTCTCCCAGGCTCGCAAGTGCGCGCGAAGATTCCAACCTCTCCAAGGCCGCGCTCCCAGAGGCGGATCGTAAACTAGACGTTCACCTGTTCGCGGCAGCTCTTCATTCGCGGATTGTTGCTCAGGTGTGGATTAGGGCAAAACGATCGAAGCAAGGTCACTGCGGAAAGACCATCTGCCATTTGGATCGTCTTTTAAACTTCCCCACTTTCTTTTCCCAGGGTATCTTTCCTTTTTCCCCCCGAGAAGAAAGGAAGGCAAGAACTGCAATGGGGGAGACTTCCTCTTTGCCAGCGATGCAGCACCGGGGGTGGTGGTGGTTTGATCTTGACTACCAAAAAAAAAAAAAAGTTTCCCAGAATATGTTATCCCACGAAAGTGCATGGGGCCGACGGGCCTCCGAGCGCTCTTTATCTCGTTTGGCAGCACGCCAGCGCCCCAATGCCTAAACACACAGACGGAGAAAGTCTCCGGCTGCTCGAGATCCCTTCTCCTGTTCGCCTGTCAAACAACCTTCAGCATAATTTGCCAGGCCGGGTTGATCCCTCAACTGTACTTCGAGATTGGACGGGAGCGGAATTTGGATCTTTTGCATGCAGAGCACGGGCTTTATTACTGAGTTAGGTTCCACAACATTCTTTTATCTTTCTTGCAGTCTGAACATCTCCCCTCCTTTTATTCAGGTTTCAACAGGAACTAAGGAGTCCCTAGACCTTACCCATTCCACCTCATTTAATATCAGGGCTCAGGCTGGTCATGCTAGCTCTCTGAGAACGTGCAAAGTGATGATCCTCTTAGTGAACAGCCATGACGGCTGGCTTCCTTCCATACATATCACATCTTATTTTAAAGGAAGGTATCAGAATATGAAGTCGGGGTTATCAGCTTCCGTTCCCCTTTAAGACTGGGCAGATCCCGGTCAGAACGAAAGAAACCGGCGCAGCTTTCCTTCGGCTTAGATGTGCACTGACGCGGAGGAAACGCTCAACCCGTTGAACTTCTGCTGATGACATAACGATGCAAGGCATTATTAGCATCCTCTCGATCGGGATGCGAGGTGCACGCGCGCTTCCAAAGCCTTCGCGCACTTTAGCTGGCAGCAAGTTCCACTGGAGGAAATCGGAGCTGACTTTCGAGTGCCTATGTCTAGGATCGCGCGGTCACTGAAAGCAGGCGCGCAGATTACGACTATTATATTATTTTTATTAATAAGAAGACTCATGTAATGATGAGGAGGATAGTCTCGCGCTCTCGGGATAACTCCGTCCCCGGTGCACAGGCGCGTGGAGGCCGGCGAGTCGGTCAGGAGCGCGTGCAGCGGGGAGTCGCGCGCTCACCCGCCGGGGTGGGGTTCGAGGGGGGGGCGAGGCTGAGTGGGGCAGGATTAGAGGGAAGCCTCGGCCCCGCCCTCTCCTCTCCCAGTCAGGGCTCCGGAGCCGAGGGGGCGATGGACCAAAGCGAGCGCGACGGGCACCACCATGGCCGTGTCCGCCCGCGCTTTCCTGGCGGTGGCGGCGCTCGTCTCCTCAGGGACGCTCCCTGAAGCGAGCAGCCCCGGGCCGGGCCGCTCCTCCTCGGCTTCTCCGGCTCTCCCGTCGGCCCCGCGGGCTGTGGCCCCCTCTCGGCCGC